TCTCCTAAGGACTAAATACCAACAGGAGTTGCTCCAGATTACCAGCCAGCAGTTAGTGTGGATGTGGATGCAGTTTTGTTCCTGAGGAAGATTTTCTTCTCGCTGTGTCACTTCCTACTGCAGAGATCTGAAGACAGCACTTGTATGAATGTCACTGTATACAAATGTTGCAGCTAACCAAAGCAGAAATCCAACTGCTTTTGAAGTCAATAACCTTGGAGGATCAATGAAATCTTCAATGAATCAATACTTCACCACTTTGTAGCGAAAGCTATACCTTATTACTTGATCCAAAGCTCAGTGGACTCAGTGTCCTTCCACTGTCTGACTTCCCACTGTCTGCAGTGGGCTCTGAAGGAGACACAGGACCCAGCTGTGAGGCTGAGAGATGCAGGACTCAGCAAGGCAAAAAGTGTCTCATCTAATGACAAAACTGATTGAAATCTCCAGCCCTCCATTAATTCATGCTTTTCCATAGGTAAATTCAGTGTGACTGCTCTCAGCACATTTTCCTCACTAGAATTCTACAAAAGTTTAGGAAAATAATTGTTTTAATAATGAAACAAATGCAGCTACAGTACTGAATTAAGTCTGTAAAGAGAGAAATCTTCCACTTCAGTTTTTAATTTGCACATCAGTACAAATCTAGAGGGCAGGCCAAAGCCCAACCTATTACCAACACATCTTAAAACATGTAAAAGGTAAGACTAGTCATTGATCAAGGAACAAAAATCTGAATGCAAAGGAAGAGACTGTTATTGAATGCTCCCAAGTTGAGTCTGGCCCCCTTTGCAGCACGTGTGGAGGGACACATTTGAATCTGCAGTGGGATGGTCATACCCTCCTCACTCAGTCTGGCACATACACCCACTGCACCTGAGGGCCACCTGAGGGAGGGGAGAAGTCAGAACCATCTTAGACCACTTATAAGACCCTTGTGTGTACAAGCCACTACAAAAAAAAAAAAAAAAATGAGGCACCTGCCCAGTATTGCAAAGGGTATGTCATAGGAGAAGCGTGTGACTTAAAATTTGTGATGGAATGCACTGGAAAGCAGAATGTGGAGAATGCAGCACTGCCTGACTAACATATGTTCCTGGTGCAAAATCCGTAGGATGCAATTTACTTCACATGTTAACAATATCCCTTCTGTGAGATAATCAGATGCACCCCAGAATTCCAACTTAGTCTTAGAAACTATATAGAATATTATAGCTTTGGTTTTTTACCCACATATGTGTGGGTAAAACCGTGTGTAATCACAGTTAACCTCCCTTGCCCCAAGCTCCTGACAGGTTCCCAAGTCAGAAATGGTCCATGTAGGTTCCCTCAAATACCAACTGTAGAGCAGGAAGTTCTCACCTTGAATTACCTTCTGGAAGGCTCTCACTGTCTCTATTCAGAGCTCAGAGGAAATGTTAGGATATAAGCTACAACAGGTAGTGAGACTACTGCAAATTAATATGAAATTATTAAATGTAGACAGAGTGGCTGGGGCCCTTTCAAACCTAGATAATGGCTAATTTGGTCTGAGTAAGAAAAAACTGCAATGAGAAACTCCAGCCACCACCATGGATTTCTTCTGGAGAAAAAAGAACGTCCTATGTATTATTAGAGTACTTTTCTGCTAGCAAAGTTGATCTAGAAGAAACGCAAAGCATCTGAAACAGAAATTCAGAAATTCTGGATGCTTTTTTTTCCTTCTCTGGTTGAAGCCTACTTAGTCAAAATGCAAACAAAGTCATACTCACAGCTCCTATGCCATCCTTTAAGCCAATAAAAACAAAGAAGCCAGTTTGCACAGGCTGTAGCAGATGATATACAAGCTAAGGACATCCTAGCAGGAGGATCCCAGAGCTCCACATTCCCTGTGAATGTAGATGCCATAGCTCCACCTCATCCTTCTGGGTGTGCTAGCAGTGACCTCAGTACAAGCTCCCTGAAAGCAAAGTCTTTGGATGGGGTGAGGGAACTGGTTGAAATTGCACACTTTGTGCTGTATGCTCTATAAATAAATCCTGAAGATTTCCACAACAAGCTTTGATATAATACTACCCTGGTTTTGATTTGGGGGTGGTGGGAGGGAGGTCTATGAAGCCTCCTTCAGCTTCCCACCCAGTACCTTGCTACAGTTGCCTATAGATTTCAAAATCAGGAGGCACTAGATGAGCAATGGGACATTGGCAGGCACTGTAGCAGAAAACAGGAAATATAATTAAACGGAGAGCCATGAGCTAAGTTCTTTGGCAAGAGAAAGAGTGCCCTGGGAAGAAAGTGGCAAGGGCAAAGTAACATGGTTAAGGCAGGGAAGGAAGCATGGGGGTAGAGATGAAGAAACGAGGGTGAGAGGAGCAGAAAAAGAAGCACAAAGAGGGAAAGTGACAATAAGAGAAAGAAGGCAAAGCATATTAGAGAGAAGAACGTACATGGGGGGAAAAAACTCTTAGGAGTAGTATTACTCTTAAAAGTTATTTAGTAAGGGCAGAAGCTACTTTGTTATGCAACAGGATAACACTTTTCTGTATAGGAAGAGATTGTAAGCTTCTATGAAACCTCAAAAAAAATATCTGTGAGAGAGAAATAGAAAATAAAAAGGAAGTAACATCATATTTCTTTTGACTTTAAAATTGCTTTTTAGGTCATATTTCACCCTTCCCTCTCAACCTCCAAGTATTTTCCAGGATGGAATTTTCTTCTTCTCACTCCAGGATTTCGCGTGGGCAGAGCACTGCAGATGCTGCTGAACTCAGAAACCAAGAAACTGATTCATTTTTCCCCTGAATCTTGTGCTATCATTTAGACTGGGAACAAACAAATGTCAAAGGCTCCAAGTTAGAAACTTGCAGCCACAATTTTACACAGCCTGACCATTCACTTTGTCCCAGAGTAACAGCAGTACCAGAGGGAGAGTAAAGTTCTGAATCCCTGCTAGATTGCTAAATACCTAAGGATAATTGTTTTTTCTTCTGTTCCATCAGACTTGTGGTCTAAAACTCCTTTTAGTTTTGACCATGTGCAGAGTATAGGCTTTCTCTAAGGTAAGCCCAGCAACCATTATTCAACCTCGCTGAACAAAAATCCTTAGAATGAAGACAAATTCATCAAATCTATGAGCAAAGTCCTTCAGTCTCACTGATCATATTCCACAAGTCTCGATTAATTTCTGAACGTTTATTTTCACTTCAGCCCCTGGTGCTGTACAAACCCACTGCTGAGTATCAATTTAGTACTCAAAAAGGATCCTCAGAACAAATCCTGTGGAATCATATGACACAGAAGAAGCTGCTCCCAGGATAATTGATACTATGTTCATATTTTTTAAATCTGAGGCCACTTGCAGTAAGAAAGTTTCCTTTCCTACTTCGTCTTAGACTTTAAAACAAACCAAAGCTCTACCATTTTAAAAGGTTAGACACATTTTTTACTCCCACCATTTCTTAATAAAACACCATTTGTGTGGGAAAACAGCTTAGTGCACACTTTAAAAACAGGCAAACCATTAATTAATCCAGCATGTTGGCAGTTTTAGAGAAACTTACTAGAGAATAATAAACTATGCTGCATCTTAAGTTTTGAAACAGCTTGAGCTTTACTTTGAGGGTGCATAAGTATGCCAAGCTCCTACTACTTTATACTTCTTAGTATATAATCTGTGATACTTAAAGTAGCAAGAAGTATAATCTGAACAGCTGCTAAACCGTGGGCAGGTTATAAAACATAGTTTTAGGAAGCTCAAGAGGTTATGAGTTGCCTGTCTCACAAAATCAAAGGAAAACACTAAAAAAAGCCCCATCTTCCACCAACCCTACCAAAGAAACACTAATTTGCCCAATACAAGTGGTTAATCTCCAACACAGGCTGGACACAAGAGGTTCCAAAATCACTGCTTTTGCATCAGCAGTATTTTAGCACTATGGTTAGGCAACAAATTGCTTTTCAGCACATCCAAGCTAGCTAGTTTACTGTGGAAATGTAACATGTCATTAGAATAACATCCTGTTTTGCAGCATTTCTGTATTTCAATTTACTCCAACTCTGCTAAGATTCAACTGGCATGAAACAGCTGGGCATGATTAGTTACTGGATGGAAACCAAACTGAGATTTCGCAATAGGTGGCATCTTATCTCCATGGCATTAGGCAGCTGGTGTAAAAGACAACTGATCCCTGGCAGAAAACATTGTCCCTAAATATAAATCTGGTGAACTGTTTCTAAGACATTATTTCAGATCAAACCCCACTGGTACGGAAACAGTGGGGGTTTTTTTGTGGGCATACACCAGGGTTTAGGTTATTTTGAATGACTGGATTTTGGCTGAGTTTTAGTTGACAAGCACATGTTGGGACCTGACCACCCGTGTGCTGACACTTGCAAGCACAAACTCCACCAGAAGGTTCACCTGGGAGAGTGAAACACTCCCCCCATCCCAGTCCTGGACAACACATCTCACGTTCTCACCAAATCAGATACTCGGCACTCCTACTCGATCTCACGGCTTTCACACCATTGCAGCCAAGACTGTGGACACCGTGTTCTCTACTTTATTGCACCTCTTGATAAGCCTGCACCACAACACTGCAACTTCTCCTCTTCCGAAGATCTCAATCACGCTCGATCCCACACGGCACCTGCCAGAGGACTCTCAGGACACAACGAAACACCGGTGCCCCACAGTGGGATCAGCGTCCCATTCCTCTGACTAGACCCAAACTTTGCACCTCCCAAACTTTTCATCCCTCCTGGACGCACCGGCGTGCATCGCTATGGATACGTTAGCAGCGTATCCATCCTTTGCCATGGCAGCATGGAGAGGAGCTCGGGGGACCCACGATGGGCACCCACCACCCAGCGACGCCCACAGCCCATCCTGCTCCCTGTCAGGAGGTGCGAGGTTCCCGCAGTAGCTCCCACCCCAAGGATGCGGGAGGGCAGAGAGGGCTGGAAAAGGGGGGGTCCGTCCGTCTGTCCCCTCAGCACACCCGCAGGGTGGCGTGGCTCACCTGCGTGGGGCATGGTGATGGTCTCGTTGGCGTTGCTGGAGCCCACGTTATAGATGACGACGGCGGAGGCGTTCTGGGCGGCGGCGTGGCGGATCTTGTCCTTGTAGGTGCAGTTTCCCCGCGGGATCAGGGCCACCCAGCTCTTGCCCGGCGCCGGGGCGTTGAAGCGGGTGCCGGGGTCGCAGGCGTAGCGGTCGGCGGGCGAGGCGGAGAGGGCCACCTGCCCGCGGGCGTCCTGCTTGGGCGACTGCTCGCCGTAGCGCCCGCACTCGCTCTTCTCGCTGCGGAGCTCGGCGCTGCCGGCCGCCGGGTCGGCGTAGGTGATGTTGACGAAGGCCGTGTACCACTCCTCCTTCTCGGCCACGGTGAAGTCCAGGCACAGCAGATGCACGAAACAAAAGGACAGCAGCCATGTTGAGAGCGCCAGGCTGCGGCACGCTTGGATCACAGACATTGCCATCTTCATCTGCCGGCCCCCCCGCCCTCCCTCCCGCCCGCCCGGCCGCCGCCGCCGCCGCTCCGTGTGTGCGTGCGCGCCCCGAGCCGCGCTCCGAGCGGGGCGGCGCTGCTCCCGCCGGCGCCGTGCGGGACCAGCCAGCCAGCGGGGGAGCGAGCGGGCCCTCCCCTCCGCCGCCGCTGCCTAATTCATGTCGGGGCCGTCTGATTTCCTCGGGCTGGCCTCGTCTCTGCCTTGCCCTCTTCCTCCTCCCGTCCCTCGCCCTGCCCGCACAGCTGCCTCCCCCGCTGCTGGCAGCGCGGCCGCGGAAGAGCGCGGCGGGGGCGGCGCGGCGCGGGGGGAGTTCCAGACGCGCACACAGCGGCGCAGCTCCCAGTGCCGCCCCGGCCCCGGCCCGGCCCCGCGGCCGCGCTGCCGGCGGAGGGGGTTCCTGAGGGAGGGACTGCCGGCGGTGGGGGCTCCAGGCAGAGGGGCAGCGCTGCCCGGCCCCGCGGAGGGGTTCCCGGCGGACAGGGCTCCTGCCAGAGGGGCTCCCGGCTGAGGGGGCTCCCGGCTGAGGGGGCTCCTGCTAGAGGGGGCTTCTGGCAAAGGGTTTCCCGGCGGAGGGGGCTCCTGGCAAAGGGGTTCCCGGCGGAGGGGGCTCCTCCAGAGGGGCTCCAGGCGGAGGGGGCTCTTCCAGAGGGTTTCCCGGCGGAGGGGCTCCTGGCAAGGAGGGTTTCCCGGCGGAGGGGGCTCCTCCAGAAGGGCTCCTCCAGAGGGGCTCCGGGCGGAGAGGGCTCCTGGCAAGGGGGCTCCTCCAGAGGGTTTCCCAGCGGAGGGGGAAGCGGCAGCGGGAGCGGCGCGGCGGCGCCATCTGGCGGCCGCGTGGGAGCGGTGCCGGTGCCGACCGTGCCGGGATCCGGGCATCGCCCGGGAGCGCAGCCCGGCACCTCCGGGCGCCCGCTCCAACTTCAGCTTTGCTCTGGCTTCCCGGCTTTTCCTGACTGCTGCGGCAGACGCTAAGAAGTTTGCGTATGTCAGTGTTGCTCAGAGGGGTGGTCGCTTGTACAGAGGTTTTTAAGTGCACGCCGAATACGTTTCCGGCTGTACTTTCCGGAATGGGAAGGACAGGCGAGTTTACTAAAATCAGATGTGGCTGACAGGAGCACAGAAAGCCTCAAAGAATGATGGAGCTGATCTCTGGAGGCAGATGTGCTTAATTTTGGTTCGGTGAAAGCCCAGACTTGGGGATTTTCACTGTATGAAACACCCCGAAAGAATTTTGGCCATGACGGACACCTTTCAAAAGGATCAAAACCCAGCTGGACTCTATGTCTGTCTATATTAGTGCAAATGATGGCCAAAATTCCACTTTTCCATCACTCTATTCAGTAACAAAAGAATGTCTTACCCCTGTTAGTAAAACCTGCTGCTGGAACTGTCATTCACTTTCATTCAATGAGTGCCTGAGTATCTCACTCGTGTCAATATCTGCCTCTTTCCAGATTATGTTCATCGCTGCCCATGATCCAAACAAACAACCCTTAACCATGTTGTATACACACACACACACGCTGCTTCAAAAAAGTCAATTCCCCAAGGCTGAAAAAAAAGTGCATTTGGGAGGAAAATGTGAATAGAGGAATAAAATAGAGAAGTTTACAGGGAAAAATGGTAATTTACCAAGAAGTCTACCATTAAGCAATAGGAAGATTTCCGTTGAAAGCTCACTCTTGACTAAGCAATGTCAGCAAATGAGAAGAAAAAAAAATGACTGTGTAGAACTAACATTGAAATGCAAAAGTAGATGGCAATCAACACTAATTAGAAAGTGTTGAGATTTCATCAGGGAAGCAAAAGCCCTAAGGAGAAAATCCATGCCTGGAGGGGCTATGGGCAACAAAGCATTTGTATATTTAGAAGTGTAAGGAGTATTATTAGAAGAGAAGGCTAAAAACATATATATATACATTTTAAAATAAATACTTCAGGGTTGTATTTGGAAAGAATGCTAGGACATATTTGCTAGATTATGGACTCACAAAAGAAGAAGTATCATCTAAGAACCTATGAAAAACAGCAGACCCAGAAAAATGGCACATATGTACCAATAAAATACCAAAAGAAGGACAGAACTGAGAGAGTAACTATCTTTCTAACACTTCAAGTAAATCTTGGCATAACAGGAAAATCTTGAAAGGTATAGTGTTCAGTTTCCTGATAAGGTCCAGAAAAACTAATTATGGTGACCAGTTAGTGACAGGCTGATTAGGCTGACATTAACCAGCTTGAAGGAAAACAAGAGAGAAACAAATCCAATGTATGGACAGAGTGTTTTTATGGGATGTGGCCTGCCAAGCAAATAGGATTCATGTTTTTGTGAGGAAGTTATCAGTGTGGTTAGTCAAGTTACACAGCCACGTCCCCACCAGGTTTTTGACAAGTGTGCTATTTCATGATGCACGACATTCTCATTACACTGTAACCTCTTAGGGGCCAGATAAGATGAACTTAGCTGAAACAGAATGTGCTTTAATGGAGCTTCATGTAAAAACACACCTCCAGGTGACAAAGTGCCAACCACTCTGGAGCTGTGTGTGGTTTACTCTGCACACAGGGAAGGGTGTGGGGGTCAGAGTAGGAAAGAATTATCCCATATCCCTAAGAAAAGGGGCCTAAAGAGGATATAGCTATCCCTGGATGTTTCAGAGGAGCAACAAGTAGCAGGAAATAGCAGATTTTTGCTCTGCTTGAAACACCAGTGAGACAAATGTTGAAAACTGTCCAGTTTTGGTATCTGCATTTTAAAAATAGATATTGAGAAGTTAAGAAAGGAACCCTAAAAATAATTTGAAGTAATTCCTCTCCAGGGAGAGTCTTCAGGTGTCCAATCTATTCAGCTTTTCAAGAAAAGAGGTGATGTGATTACATTGTGTAAGTACCATCACAGGGATATAACAGCAGGTACTAATAGGCTCTTTAAGCTAGAGGATAAAACATAACAGGAACCAAGGTTTAAACTACACAGTGCAGCTGTCTAGAGCAAAAGGAACTGATTAAACAGTACCTGTCTACTGGAGAAAATTCACAAGTGAGTCAGTCCTGGGAAGTAAAAGACAATCTGCTCTTATATTCAAATTAAACAAACAAACATCCATCAAAAGCATGCTTCAAGTGTAAGAAGTGACATTCTTCACAATTAATTTATAATCCAGTGGTCACTTCCCATCCTGAAAATACTCTTGAATAAAGAAAACAGAATACTTCATTACTTTTGTTGCTGAAAGCTGAACTACAATTAACTAGTTCATTGCTTTGACTTAAAATCACCCAGTGTGGTGTCATAGTTGATGGTGGTTCTTCCCAGTTGTTTCTGTTCACAGAAATATCTTCCCCAGAGCTCTGTTCTAGTCCTGGCACGAGAAGAGCATGCTTTCAAGTGCAGCTGTAAATGTTTCTTCTCAGGCCAGCAAGACATTTGCCACCACCCTACCCTACCCTATGTTCTCTCCTTCAAAAAAACCCAAACCCTTAGGAACATACTAGGCAAGGTCACAAATCTCATTGCCCAAATTACAGTGAGAAGCACCATCTCTACTTTCTTATGCTACTGAAAATAATTTTATAGTATCGGTAGCATAGGGATGAGGGGTGTTATCTCTGGGTTTTGAATGCTATGTATGAATTTAACAACATATTACAAATTCTCCTCCTCCTTCTCCATGTTTCTCAAGTGACAATAATTCCATCTGAACTATACCTTGCAGAAAGCTAGAAGACCATCATATTCAAACTTGAGAGTGTGAAATAGGGTTAATAAGTAGAAGAGAAGTGGCATGTGGGGAACTCCAGATTCTTGATTTATAGAAACTCAGAAGCTGGATTTAGGTGATAGCTGATGAGTAAAGGACACATTAAAATGGACTGCATGACTATCTCTGGCATATGCCACAACACTTTCATGAGGTAAAATTCATTAGTTTATACCCTTTTTTGTTTAAAAGGTAATTGCTATGCTTGCACTGTGCTGGAGTGTGTGTCTGTACCAAAACCCAAATGATCTCAAAGGAAATAGCAGAAATTTCTTTAGTTAAAAGTGAGGAATCTCACCAGGTTACCGAAGCCTTCTGTTACGGAATCCCATAGTGTTTTGTGGACCTTGCCAAGAGGTAAAATGGCAAAAAGTTTCAAAATTAGACTTTAAAATACTAGGCTGCATAAATTCTGTTGAAGCGGGGATTTACCTGGAATTTAGCAATCTTTATCCAGAAGAATACTGAAGGTGGCATTGCAGGATATTGAAAAAGCCTATACCAGGTGCACTGGCTCCCTTTATCACCAGAGGGAAGATCATGCAGGGAGCAATGCAGAGTGTGCAAACTCGATGCCTTATTGTATATTGTCCCAAGGGTCAGTCATTCCGTGCTGGACTGTGCACAGGCACGAGCAAACTTAGGGCAAATACACAGCACAGGGTAGGTGAGAGGTCCTTCCTCTCTTTCCTCTCAGGAGGTTCTGGTCAGTTCCCTGTGCCTGGGGTGTGACTGTCCCCACAGGACTGGCAGAGACCTGCGGTTAGTGCTAACCTCAGTGTGAGTCTGAAGGTTTCTTGCTGCTGATGGGCAGCAGGAAAGCTGACTGAAATATGATCTCTGCCAGTGCTCAGGAGAAGTTCTTTTGCCTTCCCTGGCTATTAGACTGAAATTGATTCTTTTCTACAGCTGGAGAAGAGCAGAAGAGATGTTAACACTGGGAGACCATGCAAACAATAAAACAATACCATCCCCTCACCTATTTGCTGCCAATACTGTGCTTTAAGTCACCAACCTCACTGTGCCAGTTCATTTAGAGAGTTAATTGAGCCATACATCTTTTTTTTTTGTCCTGACATTGATAATACTCCATCCATCTTCCTATTCATATGCTAATAGCTGTATTACCTGTCACTTTATTCCAGAATCCTGCCTTAGATTGGGATACTGCTTAATTCTACTTCTCTGTAACATTCTCAGTATCACCACAGTTGCCAC